AAAAAAAAAAAAAAAAAAAAAAAAAAAAAAACTCTCTCTCTCTATATATATCCTCTAATATTCTTATCTACCCTTTTAAAAATTTTTATTTTTATTTTTATTTTTAAATTTTTTTTCCTTTTTGTCTTTTTTACTGACCGGTAACGGGATCGCAACCCTCGGTGTTGTGCCTGTACCGGGGACCGGCAACAGGATCGCAACCCTCGGTGTCGCGCCTGCACTGCGCTCAGCCAGTGAGCAGGAACCAGTCTCCACATGGGATCCGAACCCTCAGCAGGAGCGCTGCTGCGCTCCCAAGTGGCGCACTCTCCAGTGCGCCATTGGGCCGGCCCCCAAATTTTTATTTTTATATATTTATTTAATTTTTCTATTTGCACCATTTTTCCCATGTTATCCCTTAATGAAGGCTTTCAGAGGCAGAGAGTAAGAGATTCCTTCCCGTTGACATCCATGCTTCTGGGTGAAAATGGGACACAGATTTAAAAATATTCAACAGACTACAATTTTTTAGGGCTAAGTTTCACAGAGATCGAGGTCTATGTGTAATAAGTCAATTCAATATTCAGGATCAGCCATGTGTTCCCGGGGATACTTCTCAGCCCTGCCCCTGGGCTAGGTGTTATTTCTTTCCTGAACACTTCTGTCATCCCTGCGCCCTGTCTCTTTTCTGATACACAACTACTTCTGATTTTCTTTGCTGTTCCCCATCAGGCTGAGAGCTCTTTGGGAACTCAGCTTGTGAACTTCTTGAGGGCCAGATGGTAATTTTTGTAGCCTCTGCACCTAGGACAATACTTGGTACATAGTAGATATTTGATACTCATCCATGGAGTAATTAAATGAACCACATTGATGAGTTGTAGCAGCTGTTGGGCTTTGATTGGCCTGCAAATTTATGACTGATGGCCCTTTAGTATTTTTTTCTGTCTCTGGTTGATCATTGTTTTTTGTTTTTCTCCCCTTTCTCCCTCTGAAGTACTCAGGTAATGGAGACAAGTCCATATTTACAGCTGGACCCAGCCATGCCAGGAGTGTATTCTGGAAATCCATACCCATTTGGGATTGATCCGGTAATAATGACTTCTTGGGTTAAGTGTTTACTATGTAAAATGTCTTGTTGAGGAGATCTCTGGATGGGGGAGAAGAAAATGCCCAAGCCCGTCAAATCAACAGAGTTATTCTTGGGATAGAATAACTTGTACTGGAGATTTTTGTGACACACACAGAGCTGGATTCAAGTAAATACCCTACCTGCACCCTCTACCCAGCGCCTGGGTCATTTTCTATACAGCCCTCTAATATCTGCCTCTTCCTCCATCAATGACACCCTTGGTGGTTAATGACTGTTTTTTAAAAGGCCTTGGTTACCTGGAAAGCATTCATAATAGATAAAGCTAGCCAAGTTCTGTACTTTGGCATTTTTTGCTGTGGGTAACATCTCCTTTTTCCTGAGGAAAGTATGGGTTCGCTTTTATTTTTGCTTTATTTTACTGCATAGAATTGATACAAGGTTTTTAAAAAAGTTTTTAAAGGTGTGTGCTTCCTTTTCTTTGTTTTTGTTGTGTTTTGTTTTGTTTTTTGGTGGCTGGCTGGTACAGGGATTGAACTCTGGAACTGGTATTGTCGGTATTTGTTATTTCTATCCTAGTCAACTAGATTTGAGCCAAGCAAAACAAAGGTGCTTCTTGGCGCAGCCTTTAGGTATAAAGGGGTTTTGAGCAAATACAGGTGCCCATTCATTAAAGCTGCGCACACGTGATGGCCCAGCGCGTACTGCCACTAGGTGGCGGCCTTGTGCCCTAAATGCACATGAGTGGTTTAGAACTGAACCTGGCAAATGCTGCCCATAAATGTTTCTTCCAAGCTCTCTCTTTCTGGAAAAGACCTCAGTTTTACTTGCTGACAGTTGAGAGTGAACAATACTGGCCCTAAAATTTGTTCTTTGGTCTCTGCCGTCTTGTGGATCATCTCTAGTTTTCCTTGGTCCTCCCACTGTCTTCCCACCCTTCTCACCCCCCACCTTATAAAATCAGAAAGCTTTGCCCAGAATTTATTTGTCTGTGCCACCCAGGGGCAGTTGCATTCCAAGTTTTATCCAAAGAGGTAAAGTCCTTGAAAGCTGGTTTGTAAGCTGTAAAGTGTTAAAAAAAAAACAACAAAAAACCCAAACGTGCATTGTTATTTTTGTCGACTGGGAGGCTTTATCCTTGGTCAAGGGAATCTCATGATCAGTGAGCAGGCAGAGGAGAGGAGTACAGAGTGGGGTAATTTTAGGGGCTGGTTGATGTCCTTTTGCTTTGACTCTTCTTGCTCCTGCCTTCCGCTTTCGTCCCTTCACAGCCCACAGCGAATTCATCAGCAAATCCTGTCTGCCCAGTTCTGCTCCTCAGACAGAGTGGGGGCTTGGTATTTCCCATTTCAGAACTGCGTGGTCCAGTTTCTACTCTGTGTGCAACTCTGCCATCTGCCTACAAGTTAGAAAAAGACAGAAAGAATGTCAGGGTAAAAGAGAAGGTGGGATGTTGGAAATAATGAAATTTTTTCCTAGTAATATTTAGAATTTTGAAAATTTCTGCTCTTTTTATCATAAAATAATACATATGTGACAAAAATCTATATAATACAACATATTATAAAAAAAAAAGAAAAGCAGGAGTAGCCTTTCCTACCTCTCCTGTTCCTGCAATCCTATTCCTCAGAGATAACTACTTTAACACAACATTTCTATGCCTATATTAATACTTGTGTCCTATATGTTAATGAAGGGTTTAATTTTTACATAATGTAAATTTCTTCTATGCATTTCTATTTACCTACTCTGTGATTTTGAGCAAGTTAACATCTCCATGTCTGTTTCCTCACCTGTAAAATGGATATAATAACAGCCCTAAGTCCTCGGGCTGCTCAGCATATGAAATAATTTTACATGTAAAGCCACTAGAACAGAGTTGGGTGCATTAAATATGGTAAATCCTCCATGAATGTTAGCTGCCATTATTTTTTCCTAGGTGTGTAAGTAACTTAATCTTTCCAAGATTATGATCAATTCCCTTATCCGTAAAATGGAAATAATTCTATGAATCTCATAGAGTTTTTTAAATAATTAAATGAGATGAAGATATGTAAAGAGCTTGGTATGTGCCTGGTACATAACTATTCACATTTGTAGTTTATCAGATTTGGCTGGGGCTATGCATGCTGGTAACCCTGCCCACATCATGTTGAGTGATCCTGTAGGAACTGGCCATGCAGGTGGGCAAAGGAAAGGCAGAGGGCAAGTCTGGTGTGGTGTAGATGCCAGGGCAGATGGGTGGGTGGAGGAGGTACCTCTGATGTCCGGGCACCTGGTACTGGAGTCCTTCTCCCACCTTCCCAGCACCCTCCTTAGTGGTTGCCTGGCTGGTAGCTGCTTGGGACGTTGTGAAGAAAGAACCGGTGAGAAGTGGTTCATGACTGCATGTGTGTTCGTGTGCATACACACTTGGTGGCGGCCAAGATAATTATGTATTGAAGCTGTGCCAAGGTGCAGGTTGGCCCTTTCACAGAAGCAAAGGAGTCTGGAGGAGGAAGTCGTTCAGGAGGGAAGGTGAGAAGGCCGTTGTGGCTTAGTTAGCCTTGAGGTGCTGCATAGCAAATTCTGAAGACGTGTCTAGCACGTAGTATGGGATGTGCCTAAAGCTCATGTGGGCTCAGGGGTAGGAGCAAGAACTTGATATCATTTGCAAAGGTGTGGGAGTGGAGATCATGGGATGTTCAGGTTTTTGTGTGTCACCTCTCACAGAGTGATGGAGATGCGAAAGATTACTCAGAGCCTAAATATTAAGAGCAATTTGAAGCCCAAAGGGACTGCACCAAGGAAATTCCTTCAAGAGAGGAAAGTCCAGGCATAGTCCCGAGTCAGTTTTTGCTTCAGCTTTTATTGTAAAGACAAGAAAGATACAGAAGAAAAACAAATGTTTAATCAATCAGTGAAAACATGAACTGGCTACCTAGCAAACTTCACTTAAGCATGTATAGCTTAAAATAATTCAAGCAATTTACCATCGAAAGGAGTCATAGAACTAAGCTATGTGACATACAAAGAAAAACAGTTAGATAATCACCAAAGCACCTAACTCCCCAAGAAATTCAAAGAAACAGCCTAGGGCGAGATGTGGAATGTCCCCCAGGCACTAACTAGTCTAACCTAACATCCTTGAAGATTTTAACTCACATACTTTCCCATCATTTAGGTTTAGTTGAACTAAGGGCACCTGCCCCCAGAACAATTCCTGCTCTGCTTCGGTTCTCTTATCTACATCAAAGGCTTCAGTCTGGTGTAAGCTTTCTGGTCTTTCTCAATCTTAACATTCCTACATTCTTTCCTAAAAGGTTGGGCTTTGGCCCCCTAACTATAGACTTTGGCCTCCTAAACTAAGGACTTTGGTCCTGTGAAATTTCCGTAACTTAATACTATCTCATTAATAACTTCTTAGTCAATATCCTCTACATTTGTGCAGAAGAGGAACACTAGTGACGGGGTCATTTACCAGCATGAGACCCTGTTGAGCCCCCCAACCTCCCTGTGTGCTTGCTCTGTGCATCAGTTTCATTTGGGACAGGTCAGGTACACGTGTCCCCCCACCTTGCAAACCTGGCAGCACTGTTTAGAATAGGGACTGTGTAGAAGGCAGGGGCCATGTCTTACCCTGTGCTCATAATTATTGACTATGGAGTGGCCCTTCTCAAGGGGACTGCTGGGGACTACTTTGCAGTGTGAAGCGCCACAGAAATTCAAAGGTGGTATTATTACAAAGGGATTGAGTACATGCACGGGCTGGCGATCTACAGCCATTATTAAGGGAACTGAAGCAAGTCTGAGATCTCTCCATAACACTTCAGATTATATTTTCATTTCGTACAGAGGAAAAATCACGTAGGATTGTTGTCCCCAGTTTTCTTCCAGCAACTCGGTAATGGCACTAATGGTTCTGACACTTTTTGTCATTAAAGTTGCATTTATAAAGGGCCTTTCCCTTTTCTGAACCTAAAATGCACCCACTGAACTGGACTGAAATTTGAAAATGCACTTCCCAGAGCCACTTCTTCAGGGGAAATGGTGCTGTAGCCCCCAAATCCAGCAGAACTTCTAGACTCTGTCTCATGTGCATCTTGTCACTTTCCCATCCAGATCTGGAACTTGGCTTCGAACAAACTCACATTTTTGAACTCCTATAAAATGAAGATGTCGGTTATCCTGGGAATTGTCCAGATGGTTTTCGGTGTTATTCTCAGCCTTTTCAATCACATGTAAGTTTCCTGCTTCACTCTCTGCCTGTCGGTCTGATTACACTGATGATGAGTAGGGACGGAGCCACCAGTTCAGACCTGTGTCCCTCTGTACAAGGTTCTTTCCTATGGAGGGCGGAGGGGTGCTTCCCTGTGTTTCCTGGCTTGAGCCAGGACAAGCTAGTTGGCCTGAAAGGGTGGCACCTCTGTCTCTCATGAGCAGAGTCTCTCAAAGGTAAGTGCACCTGCCACCTCAAAAGAATTTGAGGGTTCAGGAAGAGACTGGAAAGCCCATAACACCTTGTATCCCCCAGCCTGAAAGGCCGGGGTTGATGCTGTATCCAGACTTAGCTCCTACCAAATGGGCAAAGGCGGACACGAGTGAATTGCAGCCAAGGTGCCCTCCGATTCTGCATTCCACTTGGTGTCCTTTCTTCCAACTGGCAGCAGCCTCTGTCACTTCTTTGGCTATTGATGTTGGCCGGTCTATTCCTTTTTTTTCTATTGAGACATGTCACTGGAAAGCTTCTTATACTTTTTTATGCTAAAGGTATAGATGTTTGAAAACAGCTTCCACTATGCCTGTGCACATGGGCCTGTGCGGTCATGGCAGCTGAGTTACAGGTGTTGCTGAAGTCCCACCCGCCAGGTAGGTTAGGAGTGAGTAGGTGTGGCACGGTGCCATGGAAAAGAGGCAGGGTTTGGAATCAGAAGTGTAAGTCCTGGTTCTGACTCTAGCTGTGCGGTCATAGACTCATTGCTTAACATCTTTGAGATTATTATTATTATTTTATAGAATGGGACAGCATAGTCAGAATGGGTTATTATTGTGTAATAACAATCAGCCTCTATCTCAGTGGTTTAAGATCATGACACATGTCCCTCATGGGTCCACTGGGGCTCTGCTTCTGTCATCCTTACCCTGGAACCGGGGCTGATGGGCAGCCACCACCTGGAACACTGCCAGTTGCCATGGCAGAAGGAGGGTGGTGGATTATGCATTAACTTTCAAAACCTCCATCCAGAAGTGACACATGCCATTTCCATTTTCATTTCTTTGGCCAGAGCCAGTCACATGGTGACCTCTGACTTGAGAGGCCATAGAAGTATGATTGCACTTGGAAAACCAGAAATTATTTAGTGAGCAAACGTTCAAGCACCTTGTTACTATGGCCTACTTGAAAGTGCTATGAGAATTAAATGAAAGATAATACTGGAAAGTGCTTTGGGGACTAGACCATCACTGGCATCATTATGTGTCAGGCTGGCATCAGCTGTCTCTAGGAGTCCTGTTTTGTCATGGGATTTTCTCTTTTCTCTCAGATAACTCTTGCAATTAACAAGGGATGTGAAGGCCTTCTAGGTGACATTCTCACTTGGAAGCCCCTTCTTAGCCTTGGGACTCCATAAGCTAGAGCAGGAATTGGCACACTTTCTTTGTAAAGGGCCAGATAGAAAATATTCCAGGCTTTGCAGGCCACACAGTCTCTGTAGCACCTCCTCAATTCTGGTCTCGTAGCGCAAAAGCAGCCATAGACAATACATAAATGAGTGTGCGTGGCTGTGTTCTGATAAAACTTTATTTATGAACATCGAAGTTCAAATTTCATATAATTTTCATGTATCATAAAATTTTGCTTTTATTTTTTTGCCTCTGACTCTTTAAAAATGGGAAAACCATTCTTAACTTGCAGGCTGTACAAAAACAGGTAATGGGCTCTATTTGGCCTTCGGGCCAGAGTTTGCCGACCCCTGTCTTGGAGCATGCTTGGGAGGAAAGCCTCCAAGTCCCCACTGTAAGTTCTTTTGCTTTTAAATGTGAGCTGAGTCTGTATGTGAAGCTGTGGCCAAATCACCAACTCTCCACGTGGGCATGACCTTTGCTTTAGGTTACCTTCTAGACCGTGGCTCTCTTGGAGTCATTTGTGCAAAAGCACTTTCTGGTATTTCCTCTCTTTTCGTTTCTGTCCATGCGAGATTGTGGTTTATCAGGGGAGTGCTGCTGTTGGCCAGCACTGTTTTAAAAAATGAACATTTTGTGCTTTGGGGAGAATAATTACATCCTAATGTTCCCTCAGGGTTCTATCTCGTGTGTGTGCGCGTGTGTGTTTTCCACCCACAGATACTTCAGAAAAACTGTCAACATCGTTCTGCAATTTATCCCTGAGATGATTTTTATCCTGTGTCTGTTTGGATACCTGGTGTTCATGATCATTTTTAAATGGTGCCACTATGACGCCCACGTGTCCCAGCGTGCTCCGAGCATCCTGATCCACTTCATCAACATGTTTCTGTTTAACTACGAGGACGCTTCGAATGCAGCGCTCTACAAACACCAGGTATTTCTGTTTTAAAATTGTTCTTTTATCCACTTGATTATGTCAAATCTTTCTCGTACTCTTTGAGACTGCAGAGATTAGTTATGTGCAAGACAGCCGCCTTAGCACCCAGGGAAGGGTGTTAAGTTCCTTAAATTTTGCAGGGGCCAAGGGCCAGCCTGTGGCTCAATTGGGAGAGTGCGGTGCTGATAACACCAAGGCCATGGGTTCGGATCCTATATAGGGATGGCCGGTTCACTCACATGGGAGAGCGTGGTGCTGACAACACCAAGTCAAGGGTTAAAATCCCCTTACCGGTCATCTTTAAAGAAAAAAAAAAATTTTTTTTTTTTTGCAGGGGCCAAGAGGAAACTTTCTCTTTACCCCTGAAGGTTCATTAATAAATGACAACACCAAGTCAAGGGTTAAAATCCCCTTACCGGTCATCTTTAAAAAAAAAAAAAATTTTTTTTTTTTTGCAGGGGCCAAGAGGAAACTTTCTCTTTACCCCTGAAGGTTCATTAATAAAAAAAAAAATCACTGACAAATTTAAAGCAATATGAAGAAAAAGCATAACAAATTTTATTATTTAACATGATGGGAAGGGGCAAAGCATGGGGGAATCATAGGACAGCGATATCCCAATTTTCCAGTGGGGTACAGAGCTATTATACCCGTCTCCATAAGGAAGGGGGAGATGGAGTATAGGACTAAACGGTTCTCAGGGGGTTTAGTGGGTCTGGAGAACATACAGTGGCCTGGGACAAAGTCTATTTGGCCTGCAGGACAGCGATATCCCAATTTTCCAGTGGGGTACAGAGCTATTATACCCGTCTCCATAAGGAAAGGGGAGATGGAGTATAGGACTAAACGGTTCTCAGGGGGTTTAGTGGGTCTGGAGAACATACAGTGGCCTGGGACAAAGTCTATTTGGCCTGCAGAGCAGATAATGACTGGTATATGATTTTCTTTAAAATACTGAATGGGTCCGAAATATAAGACAACAGTCTGTGACAAAAGTTAGTTCAGATATGTTGATAGACTCGCCTTTCTTCCTGTGATATGAATTAAGTTAATGAGAACTCAGGGAAAAGACCAGAAGTAATTGTTGTTTTCTTTAGTGGGTCGAGACTTTAGGCAGATAAAGAACCAGCTTCATCCCGTGCTTTGGAGAGAGACAGAGAATTGAGAGATGGGAGGGGAGGTGAAGGTCAGAGTGACCTTGAGGCTGCTTCTTTACTCAAGTATGTCAAAGCACCATATTTTGGGGGAGTAGCTTTCTGCACCCCCACAATTGCAAAAGGTTCTTATTCAATGGATGCACAGGTACTGACGGTTATGATGTGGCCCCAGCACTCCTGTTGGTGAACATGAGAGAGGTTTTTATGGACGATTTAAAAGGCTGTACATTGGCAATGAAGAAAGAAAAAAATAATCCTTCAAACTGATTGGCCTGAAACTGTAAAATGCTCTAAATAGCACCTTAAAGTTTAATAGTCTTTTATTCAAAAAGTAAACTCTAGCCAAGGTTTACAAGGATGAAAATTGAAATAGAATCAAGAGGAGGCATCCCTCACACATGGGCAATGAGGTCCTGAAAGACTATGAAGCAAACTCATGCCGTCCTGTGAGCTTTCACAGCTAGGCAGAGATGCTTTTTGTTTGTTTGTTTAGTTTTTGCTCTTCTTCCATGGACAATACATCCGGCTAGACTTTATTACCATTTTGACTTCTTTCATTTCTTTCAGCCTCTTTTGCAACTTAATATTTTATTTCAAAAAAAGTATAAATGTGCCATGGGAGCTGGATATAAAAATAATGCACTGAGTAGTTCATTGATAACACAAATAGTTCTTTTCCACTGGCCTCTCCCTGATCGTATTGTTTGAGGGTACATTTTCACTCAAGAAGGACCCACTTACATGCACTCTGATTCCTCTGGATCAAGCTCAATGGCTAGTTTGGCAACGGCAGGTGCCCCTCAGTGCAAACGTTACCTGCCAGTGATTGCTCCTGCTGGAGATCCTGCGTGACGGTCACACTGCTCCCGGGTCATGCACGTGCTCATGAGTTTCATTCCTAGTGTGTTTTCCTCCCCTACACAAGCATCAAAAATAATAAGAAAACATGCCTGTGAACTTTCATAAGGAATGATTTTATTTTTAATTTATTTATTTTGTAAGGAGTGATTTTAGATGATATGGTAACCCGAGAAGAGATATGCCTCCAAAAGCTCTTCCATGGTATCCCACCTTACGGTCATGGTGCCTTTTTGTTATACTTTAATGGTAACATTGAATCACTCCCAGATGTTAGCCTGAAATGAGTGTATTTTGGAGGTTCATTTACTCAGTGCTAGAATCTAAATGGAAGTTTATTTGGATTTTCCAAACCAGTCTTCTGTCCTAGGTAGAGGACTCAGACTCACCAAAAAGTTCGTGTGCTAACTGCTGCATAAAGATGAAAGTCCTCACTTCATCTGGAATATGCACTGAGGATTGCACAGTGAATGGTTTTTCCAACCTTTTTAAAAATTTTATTATTATTCAGAAACATTATTTGGAGTTGGCTGGTTTCCCCACTCCCAGTATGAAGATTAATTTTCTTGACACAGTTTGAAGTTTCTGTCACCTCATTCTGTGGTCATGTAGCTGTAAGAGACAAAGGAAGTTAGCAAATTCCCTTCTCAGCACAGACGTGGCTGTCTTCAGAAAAGCTCAGGGAAAGATTTGTGCTATCTTTGAATTCTGTTTTTCCACAAACTTTTTGAGTACCTTGTATCAAGGAAGGATAGCAACAGAAATATTTACGTGTATGTATCTCTGGTTGCTTTGTACATTATTGGGGGGAAAAAGCCTTGTATAAAAATGGACAAATGGCAGTGAGGTGGCATTGTGTGCAGGGGACTAGGATGGACAGGTTCAGTGCACCTTCACCTGGTATCCCCCCTCTGCTGAGCACTTAACAGTGGGATGTTCTCATCAGCATGGTGGTAAAAAGGAAAAAAAGTGGAGCAAGGGTAGAAGAAGGAACAGATAAGATGTCCCCACTGTTATGGGGTAAATCTTGTTACAATCGGGATAATAAATTGTCTCCCGGCATTCCCTGACTGCTGGGTCAGAACAGTTGTAATGTGAAGGCTTCCAGAAATGTTTTTCCTTTTCCTTCGAGCACCTGGTTTCCACTCCTTTTTTTTTTTTCCTTCTTGTCTTTTTTCATGTCCGGCAACGGACTGCAACCCTCAGTGTCGCACCCGTACCAGACCAGGACCGGCAACGGGATCGCGACCCTCGGTGCCGCACCCGCCCCTCGCTCAGCCAGTGAGCGGGAACCGGTCTGTATGTGGGATCCGAACCCTCGGCGGGAGCGCCGTC